CTCTAAATTTACTACTCATTGTGGCACGTTCTCGACATATATATAATAACGTTGTCGAATGTTAAAAAAATACAAGTTTGCTTAATCTACACCAATTTTAGTGAATAGGTAATATGTGGAAGCCTTGCTTGCCTCGTGACCCATTAATACTTTGCCGGTAAACCAAACTAAACGTAGGTTGTGAAAACTAAGAGAAGAATAAGAGAAAACTGGTCGTAACATATAAATCAAGATACCTGAATTAGCAGCTAAAATGACTTTGCAATTCCACTCAAGAAGCTCCAAGACAAATGGAAGCGTGCCGAGGAGAATATCGGCGCCACTGTTGTCGCAAAAAATCATAGCACAACGATACCGCTTGGATGGGTCCGATATGCGCTCAAGCCACTTGTCAAAATCATCTACAAGCCATGGCCTTTCCTAATCAAATAAAAAAACCCAAAATATAATTCATAAGCTTAGACAAGGTGTCTAATGGAAGCACTTAGCAACAAGTAAGAGACCACGACCAGACAATAAGAGCAGTTTTGGGGGAATTTCCAGATACATAATTGAGAAAGATGGGAAAAAGAATTTCAGTTAAATGAATAGTTGAGGGGCCCGATAGCAAAGGAAACTATAACTCTGTGGATTCATCATAAAAAAATCCTTGAGAAATAGGACAAAATAGGTCTAATAAATTTCATCTCAGAAGTTCATATCAATCAAGAGTGATAAATTTAATTGATGTAAAGTACAGATTTTCTGAGAATTCTTAACTTAATTAATACTTATTAAAAGAATGAAAATCGCATTGAGAAGCCCGTCTGAGAAATTTCTAGGAACAAAAACAGTTTTTAAATTTCTGTCCAAAGCCAGGGTTGTCATCGTGATGGCATATCTGCCCTCAACGATTGCAGACTGAATCAGCAAAGCTTCTGCATGAGGCCTGGCACCACCCAACAGTTTGTTAAATTTTGCTCTTTTAATCACTCGATAAGATTTACATCGATTAGATGAACGTTTAATTAAGGATGAAAAGGAATTCACACTTAACCTCTAATGTTTGATGCAAGTCCAAAGGTTATACTGCTGTGATTGTCAACAAGTGATCGGGATATACAAATTACCTAGTCAATTAATTTAACGAAATGACATGGCTTAGACAGTGGACAAGTTAGTATTCAATACCTCACCATTATCGGCAATCACTTTAGCCCCGCCCGAAAGCAACTCACAAAAAGCCTTGGACACGAGCCAGAAATTGGCACTGGGTCAGCACTTAGAAACACTCTTCACCATAGGTTTAATTTACGCTCTAATCTATCATCCTTATACAGCTTACCAAATGTGATAAGCTACATCATTTACATGGGAGCAGCTAGCATTTCGATCAGTACAACTATATAAATGTAATAGATCGTTCAATAATTCAAGTTTGAAACTAATAGAGCATTAACAAATAATCTTAGTGTTCTAACATGAAGGCCTGTTTGAGAGACCATATTGTAGAAAATAATAAATAATTCGTCACTTGTATCGATACCTGAAGCTGACTCTTAGTTGCCTCAAACGTAGCGAGCATAGCAGCCGATTGATCTTTCTTATTGGTGCTTGTGCTGCTAAAGTCGAGGCGAGAGGTGTTTATAGGGTATTTCTGCATAAGTTTGACTGCCTCCGCGGAGCCCCAATCAAAGATATTTCCAGCCAAGAGGGCCTGAACCAGGCTTATCTGTCGATCAACCCAGTCAAGGCCGGACAACTCAGTCAGACGGGCTGGGAGACTGGCCAAGGCCTGTTCGTTTTCAAGCTGAATCCATCAAATGCAGTTGATAAAAAAGAGTAATTGGTTTATAATAACAAGTATAAATGCATGAAGAGCCT